TTACCATCGATTGGTTCTCCTTTTGCATATTCTTCACCTCTTCCTGGAGGTCGTATACCTTCAGCTCTAACTTCTCCTTTTCGGCCAAAATGGCGAACGACAAGTGATTGGCGGCCATCGGGTCTCCGCCACTCTCTCCTAATTGTCCGCAATTCTTGTCGTCGCTGTTACCACCACTTCGTCCTAAATCGCATTCAATGGGCGGATTCGCGCGAATGCCTCTTAACTGATCCTCCAGTGATTGGTTAGTGGCAACCAAAGAATGGATCTCCTCTTTAAGAGTATTGTTGGTCACACGAAACTCCTGCTCCTGTGACTCAATTCGTCGAATCAATAGCTCATTCTCGGCGATCAAGTGGTCACTACTGGTGTCGGCGCCCGACCGGAGCTTATGGTCCACTTTATTGGCGATATTTCGGGCCAACGATAACGGATTGATTTTGTTGACCGTCTGAGCTCTGGACAACTGCTTCTCCAACGTCTCGACCCGTTGTCTGAGTCCGTCGATCACCGATTGATCCCTTCGTTTCTCTTCGGCCAACGAGTAGTTGTCTGTCTTTAACTCCAATAATTGTGTCTTTAGTTTGAATCAAAAAATATATTTCAAAAAACATGAATGAATGCAAAAATACAAACAAAATATATTCATAGAAATTGCACAACAAATATATGCAACAAATGGGAAGCAAAAACCTAAACATGAGCTCAAGAGCTGATCCCAAACAGACCTGCAATCGTTGAAACTCTTCGCTAGAAAGCGTTGAATCCATTGAAAACAGTGTTTATAATAGAGTTGTGTTTATTATGTAAAACCAATGGTTGAGTGCTTTAATGGGTTAATAGTAATGAATATACACTATAATTATGTTGAGAGTAAGAGTACACTATCTGTCACTCAAATCAATGCATTTGTGTTGAAATACATGTTAAATGTTGTAAACATTGTTTACAATGGCTTTAAATGTGCACTAAATTTGTGCTCAAAACTCGTTTTTCTCGATAAACAATTGATTCACTCAAAAATAAACACTCATTTCGTGTCATAAATATTATGCTTTCAATTAGTTTTCACTCAACTCATCGACAATACATTCAATTCATTATTTCTCACAACAAAAACAATTAACAAAACATATGTTTAATTATAAAAATTAAATATTTTTAAAATAATTAAATGTATTTTTTTATAAACAAACGTATCGTCGCATCAATTGATGCAATCATTGAATCATCTATTGTTTTGTTAGCATTAAATTAAATTTTGTAGTGTTAGTAAATAACGTTACGTTTTGCCCACAAATCGCAAACGTTTTTCAATTGAAATTTCAACTCTAATTAATTAGAGCCGATTTGGGGTGACTTCGAGTCCAATGACATTAACATTGCGTTTATATTTCAATCCAAACCACAATTCAATCATTTGTTTGTCAACTCAATTAGACTTTAGACTAAACACTATTTTTAGACACATTCTTATCACCAAAAAGTGATTTAATTTGTGATTATAAAGAGACCATACATTTGATAGGAGGGGACACTTGGCCTTAGTTTAGGGAACAATCAATAATAATATGGATTAAATCATTAGTCGATTCATTGGATGTCACTCTTCATAATGATTACCATAAGAACCGCAAAACTATATAATTAAACATATTTTAGTAAAAGGGGTGCAAATTAATTAAATCACAAATTAAATCGTAACGTATTTTGTGAATGGCCTTCAATTTTTATGAAAGGATTTATTGTTTTGAAAATCGTTTGAAAAGCGATAGACTTTTATAAGCCATTGATTATCACATCATTTGATTGCAGTCACTGTTTGACAGCCGAAGACATCACTGAATCGTTTCTCGTTCGCGACCGCAATGTCTTCAACGCTTGAATCCTATGTCAACCGTAAGTGTCGTATAGTTTGAAAATCGCTTTCAAAGACTGTCATTACTTAATAGCGTAAACCTTTTTGTTGCCCTTTTTAGACACCGTTTCGGTCATCACTGCCGACGGCCGACAGATTGTGGTAAGTCTTGAGCTTACACTTCATAACCCATTGACCAGTGATTAAACCATTTATTAGTTTTTATGTCTTATTATTTACTATTGTATTTGTTATCATTATATTTGTTTCATAACTCATTTGCTGACCACATGTTTGTGCGGATGAATGCGGTGTTTGACTGACCACTCTCTGTGTCCACTCTCTGAAGGGCACACTTAAGGGTTTCGACCAAACAGTGAACGTGATCTTAGATGACAGTCACGAACGGGTCTACAGCTCATCCCATGGCGTAGAACAGGTGGCGCTCGGACTCTATATCGTTAGAGGAGATAACGTGTGAGACATTGATTACATTTCTGTTCATTTCCGTACCACTCGATCGTCACAATTGGTCCAGTGATGGACAGAGGAGTTGAATCTGTCATCACTAGTCCAGTCCTCTCTATATTTCATTTGATTATCGATTGGTTTTTTGCCCAACATTTTGATCTGTTTTGTGTCTAAAGTGTGTCCACATCTCTAAAGTATTTGATCTTTTCTTTTCCGACCCATAAGTGCTGTCATCGGAGAGATTGACGAAGAATTGGACAATAAGTTGGACTTCAGTAACATTAAAGCCGAGCCTTTGAATGCAGTCATTCATTGAATCCATTCATTAATCTATATATTCATTGATAATTCATTAAAATTTAATTTAATTTCTAATTATTAATAAATAAATAGTAATTTGTAATTTTGTTTACGAAAGTATTGTTAATAAATGGTATTTTAAAATGAATAAATTGTGTTGTATTTAACTAATCATAATTATTAATTGATTTTATATTTTAAATGAAAATGATCTAAAATATTATATATTTTTTGTAATTTTTATTTATGAATAGATCGACGATTTGGTGGACTTATATCGAGGTTTTGTTAAAACTCCGATTCCTATCTCCGGCCGACTTTCTGTCAGCGATAATGAGAGACAAAAGGATTTACGAATTGATTGGAAAGTCCGAGATATGGATCGCTTGGAAGCGACCAAACATACGACCCATCACTCCATCAAACTATCCAAAGATGGGATGACTGTTAAACACATC